GTACTAGAGAAGGAGGTTTAGATTGGACATTAGGATTTCTTTTTCATGGAAAAGGTTACCAAACATTGGAACAGGCTGTCCAGGGACGCAGTTGAGTCCTCAACCCTGGAGAAGTACAGAGACAAGTCAAGGTGTCACTTACAGACATGGCCTACGGGTGGACTTGGCAGTGTGAATTTGCAGTCAGACTCAGTGATCCAAATAATTTCCAACCCAAATGATTCTATGATTTGTTTGGAAGAAAAGTGAAATGCTTTCAGGTAGAAGTCTTTCTATGGTATTGCTGTTTTATCCTGGTAACTTCCACACAACTTGAATTTAAATTATGTTTACTGTGTCTGTCTGGGACAGACTTAATTTCTTTCCATCTGTCCTTTGGTGCTATGTGCATCCTGGTGACCAAAACGGTGCTGAGAACACACCATTGTTTTATTTAGGAAATAAGTACTGAGTACAAAAACTTCCTTCTGTTCATAAATACAGTTCAAAGACAGCCTACTTAAGAAAATGAATAGTTAAAAATGTTAAGTATTGTGGAAGAATGTTCCAGGATGTATTCCCCCAATCACTTTCTGAGATATAAGTAAAAGATGATGGTGAAGATGGATGCAGCTGCATTGAAAGGAATGTTTCTTCTCAAGGAAAACCTCAGTACCATCTGTGACAAACAATACCAAGCCATTCAAAACTCTTGTTACCATAAACTACAGAAATATCTCCTAATTAGCTAAGAAGCAGCTAAAAATAAATCGTTGATTAATGCATTTACTCTGAAACAATTATTTTAACAGAGAGGGTAGTATAAACTGTCTTGTAGGGAAAAAAAACAGTACTTTGACAAGATCAGTCTCAAAAAATTCATAACACAAGAAAAAGAGTAATACTGTATATTAGTGACAGTTATTAAAAAAAAAAATCCCCTTTAGAATGAAGATATTCAAACCAAAATTATTTCCCTGGATAAATCAATAGTAAAATTACCAATTGACAAGGAAACTGTTCAAATAATTGTGGAAACTAAAGTATTTTCATCACTCACACAGTTGTCAAATAATTTAGAGGACTTCCAGTAGGTTCTTTACTGCTGAGACCATACATTGTGTCAACTATGACAAGTCAAGGTAGCTTTTAGAAGTCTCTTCCACACATAGATGTCTCAGTTTCGTGCTGAGAGTCACCTTGCCCTCCTTTTAAGCTGATTTTTGGTGTGGCTATGCACAAATTTGGCTTGTTCAGCCTGGAGAATGCTGTGGGGGGACCTTACAGCGCCTTCCAGTGCATAAAGTGGGCCACAAGAGAACTGGAAAGAGACTTTTCACAAGGGCATGGAGTGTTATGATGACGGCTAAGGGCTCTAAACTGAAAGAGAGAGGGTTTAGATCGGATATTGGGAAGAAACTCTTTCCTGTGAGGGTGGTGAGGCCCTGGCACAGGTTGCCCAGAAAAGCTGTGGCTGCCCAGCCTTGGAAGTGCTCAAGGACAGACTGGATGGTTTGAGGTTTGAACAATGTGGTTCTGTGGCATCCTGAAACTGGACAATCTTTGAGCTTCACTCCAACCCAAACCATTTTATGATTCTATGGCAGAAATTTATCAGGACTGAGCAGATCCTTATGGCAGCAGTCCCCAAACCAGAGCTTCTGAGCAAACTTTGACCACAGAATTTTGTTGCAATGATTAATGCAATGGGAAATAAATAATATTTTTTTTAAAGTTATGCTGAAGACAGAAGGAAAAAATCCCACCAGCTGCAGTTGAATAAGGTATGTTATTTTATTAGTAGCACTGCTAATGTGTAAAGGAATGTTGTAGACCATTGCATTTCAGCTGGACTTTCAGGTTTTTTCATTTCTTTCCTAGTTCCTAACTAGGTCAGCAAACTGACTTTGGTTAAAATGCTGGCTTTTGCTTCACATGCACTTGAGACTACCCACTAGCTCCTGTTCACATCTTCTTCTGAAACACATGAACTTGTGTCTTCCCATTTTTTGTACCAATCAAAAAAAACCCTCAAAGCTCTGTTCTGTATTTTCAAGGTTATGGAGTGAAGTGACAGTTTGGTGAGTAAAGATCTCCTTTCATAGTGCATGCTTTTTCATAAATCAATCGCTCATTTCGAACTATAGCCCCAAGAACAGAGGAAGTATCAGATGTGTCCATTATTAAGGTAGAAATTTCAGACAGCCCATCATCACTAAGAAGCTAAACTGGAACTCAATCAACAAAAGTTGATGCTATTGACCTCAGACATATTAATGTTTTATGCTGCATTTTTGTAGGTCTAAGCACTAAATTCATTACCTATTGAAAATACAAGGAAAAAAACCTGATACGCAAATAAAACACATTTGTAAGAAAAATCTACTGTATTCTCATGCTTCAGGAAAGAGGCACAAATAACTGGGAAGAATATTTAATTTAAAAATTACATATTATATTCCCAAGACATAGATAACACAGTTCTCTTTGCAGCTCAATGATGACCAAAACTGCTGAAAGCTTACAAATGTTATGTCATTAATCCACTATAAATACAAAATCTGTCAGGCAAAGGTTAAGGTTCTGCAAGTTCTAAAAGGACCTCCTGATTTTTTCACCCCACTTCACCCTGGCCTGTTAGTTTAAAATCTCTGAGGATACTCAGTATTACCCAAATCACAAGCATTATTATTTCAGTTGCTCTTTCATTTAATGAAAACATTTATTATGACTGAGTATGCCAGTAAATGAATGACTTCTGTTAATGTCACAGGCTCAAGAAAACCCATCATCCCATCCTCCTAATATCAAAAATATTCAGCACAGCAGTAATCATACGTCAATGACATTTTTCTTACACACATAAACACCACAAAAACACTTAAAAAAAAAAGGTTTGATTAAAGTTATACATTAGATTTCAATAGTATCTGAACAAAATTTCTTGCCAAAAACACCAACAATTCAAAATCTGTCAGTCTCCTTCAGGAAACAAGAAGATCATACTGTGCCCACCATAGAACAAAACAGATTTTTATCACTATAATCACGCCAATGATCGTGCCATATTCCGGATTATACTGGGACACAAGAGTAACTCAGATTAGGCAGCACTGTGAACATGAATCACCATCCCTGGAAGCGTTCAAGAAGTGTGTGAATGTGGCATTTGGGGATGTGGTGAACACATTGGTGTTGGGTTAACAGCTGGACTCAGTGATCTGAAATGTCTTTTCCAGTATAAATGACTCTATGATTTTATGTTTCAAACTACTTTTCTCCCCCATATTTACCCTAGCTCCTTTTTTTTTTTTTAAACCACTTTGTACATTTTTGTAAAATATTTTAGTAACTGAATCCCAGAGTCTTACTGAAATGTAAACTCCTTTATGTATTCTAGTAAGTGCTGCCAGTTCTTAAAAGATAGAAGAGGTCCTAAGACACCCCAAACCCTCAAGAGGCTGCAGAACTATTGTTTAGGGTCTGTATGATGAACCAAAAAAATCATGTTATAATAGCTATGTTTTAAATTAACTTGGAGTGCACATGTTTTTGTGTTTGCATACTATGGCTATTTTGGAGTACTTAAAGCTTTTAAGAATTCACACAATAACTGCAATTATATCTTGTGTGCTTTCCAAATGTGCTGTGCACTTCAATGCAGCTCATCCCAGTGCTCAAGCAAAACATTCCTCACTGGATTTTCTCATCGTGTTAAATGACAGTCCTAACTTTCTGCTAGAGCAAAAATTCCTTGATTCATTTTTCATCGTGGTGTATGACAGTATTTGCTTTGTCTGGGATTTTTAAAGGAAATAAAACTTTCAGAATTGTAACTCAGATTGCGTGAGACTGCATACAAAATGTAAAACACAGAAGTATCTGTGAGAGATGGAAATTATGCCTAGGAACACAAAGAGTAATCCATAAAGTTGAAAACAGGCTGAGATTAAGAAATGTCATATTGCTTGAAATCCCCGAAGGCAAAGACACAGAAGGCATTTTATAAGAATGGATTATTAAGGTGCTGAGGGTAAAGAGTTTCTACTTCCTTCTGGAACAGAACATGGCAGATAAACTGACTGAAAATGGAACAAGATGTTTCTCTCAGAAAAACAGTATTTTCTGAGCTCATTTCAGAGAAGCAAGTAATTATATGCCTCATACACAAGAATCAAGAGATAATGCAAGGCAGTATAAAAATAATTGATATGCAGTATGTACAGTGACATCAGAACTACAAATTGATGTTACAAAATGTGTTAAATGCTCAAGAACAGTGCATCTTACTTTAAAAGTGAAACTCCAAGTGCCCCTGATACTCTGTGACATGCATTAGCTGGATGGAAAGAAAAAAAACAGGTTCTGAAAGTGTAGCCACTGGCAAAGCACTGATGGTTGAATTTTAGAGAGTAAAAAAACTGCTCTACCCCATGCTCACTGTTCCCAAGGTTAACAGACACTATTAATGCTTTCGTTTTTTGATTTAGGTACTCTTGTACCATATTATCAGATGCTGAAGTCCATACTGGTTATCACTTACTCCATAAAATTTTTGTTTCAATTTGCAGGACAGAAAATTATTTTTCCTTTTATTTCACAAAATAGTAGTAGTAGTAGTAGTAGTAGTAGTAGTAGTAGTAGTAGTAGTAGTAGTAATAATAATAATAATAATAATAATAATAATAATAGTAATAATAATAATTTTAAAGTAGTTGTAACACATTACTTCAGCATAGGAATTTTTTATTTTGAAACTTTATGATGTGTAACAGTTAGAACTGGATTTAAAGTAAGATAGATACTTAGTACTCAGAAAAGCAAGAGAAGAACATAATAATGCATATGTAATCTGTAATTCCTACTCACAACACAGGCAGCTCCAGTCCCAAGAACAACTAAAATCTTCCAGACAAGTCTATATTGCAGGAATATCCACCCAAGTATGACAGTCATTCACTTCCAGAGTGTCAGAATGCCAAAATCCAGACCAAAAAAAACCAAAATGATGAGAGACTTACCCCATTTAAGGGAAATGTTTTCCATCCTAGTTCTCCCAGGGCAGTTGTAGTATCAAGTAACACAACTGAAAATGGAAAGAGAAATGGTGTTTGTGGTATTGCTTGGATTAGACATAGCAAAGTATTAAAACAGGAAGGACTGAACTTGCCATGCTACCCATGTTCATTTGGGCTTTCATGGCTTACATTTCTTAACTAAAAATGCCTCAAAACCCATAGATACCCCTAAATCTTTTGCAGAAATCATTGCCAAATCACAGTACACTATTGATATTTAACCATTAAAGATGCCTGATCAAACATGCACATTCCTACAATCCCTTGCTCGCAAATCTGGAAAGTCTGAGGCATTAAAACTAATAAAATACACAGTTTCAAAAGTAAGTTGTTTTATTTTATGAAACCCATAAACTTCCCAGAAATAAAGTTACAGAATTTACAAACCGAGAACACAGAAAGTCAACTTCAGTTTCTCTCTTGCATGGGGTATCACAGTGTTAATATCCACTGCGTATATTTTGTATCACTTCTGTCATATTCATGTTGGATTTTTTGATATATGATAAGATGTCCATTATTGTATATTACAAAATGTGTCTGTATTATTTTTATGTTAAATTACATTAACTTCCTTTTTCACTTCCATTCACTGGTGCTAAACAAATAATATATAGCACATGAGACATTCTACCCACAGGTACTACTGCCCTCTAATGGAATTGCTTCATCTGACCCTCTAACTTCAGAAATCTATGTATTAGATGTATACATGAATAAGTGTATTAGGATTTAAACACAAAATTAAGTATTATACAGGGCAGTTTATTTTAATTATTGAGTTGGTGTGTTTTGAATGCTGAGTTCCTCCTTACAGCCCACTAATTCCAGTTCTTCTTTGAATTGTTAGATGATGGAAAAAAATAATTAAGCAATTAATTTGAAACATGACCCCAGTATTCATGCAATTGTTGGGTTTATATTGCCATGTGCTATCTTCCACATCTTGTCTGTCCAAATAATCAATGTACAGCTATATATAATGTGATTCTACAGAGCAGTACAGCAGCAGCAGAACCAGCTCATGTTTTTCTGCCTTATGGAAAAGGCACCTTGGCATGGACACTGAACTTGGCAGCTCATTAGAGGGAACCTGACCCAGCATCTTCCCTTCTCTTTTGTACCAGTGACACTTAGAGCTCCTCCATGTCTGAATGGATGGTGACTTTTAACCTGAAACTGAGATTTGCTGTCTCATCAACAGAGGCAAGTAAAAAGCTCAACATAAACCACATAAAAGCTTAATGGTTTACGTGAAGAAATAATATTTTTAAAATATATTCAACAAAGGGAGTAGTCTGCTCTCCACTTCTTCACCACTTCACTGTATAAAGCTTCGTGAGTAATATGAGTATAAATTAACCATTTTTTACAATCCCCATTTTACTTCTTTAAAAAAACAGATCACAATCCTCATTGACACTTGCTGCTTTCCACTTGCTTAAAAAGCTGATTTATAGCTGTCATAGTATTTTCTATTTGTGTCAGACTACCATGCACTTGTGGAAAAGTAAAACAAAACATCTTCTCACTTGACATTTGACACAGCAGTTTCCTGTGTAAAACTTTTAAAACTTTAATCTACTGTTACCTCAAAATAAACCCAAACAAACTGGGTTTACATATTTCTTTTTCATAGAGAGAACCAACTGCTCAGCAGGTTTCTGAGAATGTTTCACTTCATCTTAAGCGTTTGTTTTCTCTTTCCCATCTCTTCCCCCCTCCTCTCTCCACCCAGAAAACATGGACCATTTGTTATGTACTTTGTTTCCAGCTAAATTTCAATTTATATCTCACTCTTTGTCAAGTGCTATTCCTATGGATCTGCAGGTAGAAATAAATTTTCCTATGAGCAGCATTAGGGTTTGAAGAGTCATTTCAGTTTTACAATTTCTGTGGTAGCAAGACTGCAATTTAATAAATATCATCCACATATTCAAAATTAATACTTCTGTGGAACAAGACCCAAAATACAGAAAGGAAAACTAAATGAAATTAATGAATTCATTTCTTCAGTGAAGCCTGAATTAATTAATTCCTTGCCTGAATTAATCAAGTACTATTTGAAGGCTCAAAGCTATACATTTAAAAAATTAAAAACTAGAGTAAATTCATCACTGAAAGTATATTAAGTTTAGATTTAATTGAGCCATGATCTAATAATATTCCTCATATACATTTACCAAATGATCCCCAATGAGTAATCAAGTTTTGTTAAAATACAGTTTTTGATACCTTTGACATACCAAACTCTTGAATGCTCACATATTCTTGCCTCTAGCTACCAAATCTGTAAGAACTGGAAAATTCAAACCAATCAGAGAATTCTCCAACTGGAGAATTCAAACCACCAAACAACTACTAACCAGGACTAGAATGGTATCACCTGCAGGATCAGAAATGAAAATAATAAAAGTGGAAAGACTGTCTTTCCAACACCATTTATATTACATGACATAAAATAACCACCCATCAAAAACGTGCAAATACTGAAAGATCAAGTAAATCTGATGTTTATGCCAAAGAAACACAAACTCCAGTGAAGCTGTGGATTCAGCAGGGCCTGCTATACAAATGAGGACATGGATAAAGCAATAAAATCCTCACATACTTCAGAGGTTTGGAGTTATCTCCATGCTAGACTTCAGGGTGGGACAGAGACACCCAAGCTAGCTTTAAACCAGGTGATCAAGAAGCAGCCTACTCCCAGCAGCACAAACCTGATGGCAGACAAATCTGCACTGCCAAGGCACTTCCAACTCACAGCTCTTATGGCAGAAAATTCCCTCTGTCAAAGAGCTCCAGGCTAAAAGGAATGCCAGTATGTAAACATCTGAATTACACACAGGAGAGGAGGCTTCCCCTCTGCCTGCAAAAGAACTGGAAATTCACATGCAGAGAGACTAAAAAAAGATGGTGGGCACTACTCCTATGATGCTTATAATGAGAAAATTCTCTGAAAAGCTAATGGGATCACAAAGTCGTATTTATTGACCCTTGTCCCTACATTTACTTATTTATGCACCTTTGTATGCCATAAAATGCTCCATCCTTCTTAAGAAAAATGAAAAGTGTCCATTATGGACAAGCCATTAGCTGCCAGCATAAACAGAAGTATGTCTGGAACTACTGCAGTGAATATTTTATGGGAAAAGCTGGTTGAAAATCAGCAATGTTACTGACATTAGTGACATCCAACCTCCACTTTTAGCAGGCACTTTTCTGAGGTGATGGCTCTAAAACTTGCACAGTGAACAAGAGTTTGGTCTGCCACTACGAAGTCACGTCACGACTCAAAATGAACTCAAAGATCCTTTTAAAAAAAACTCTGGATAAAAAGAACTCAGATTTAGCACTTGAATGTCCTTCCTTAAATAACTGAACTGGGGATACTAACACTTGCCCAACAATAATATACAGACTTAAACATACATCTGTAAGCTTGTTGTTTAAATACCTGCACACTTCATTCTTAGAAGTGTTTAGCTTTGTTTTCCAGCACATACTTTAATAGATATTGTATTATTATTACTCATTATGGTGTATTGAGCTGCAGTTTCCTTTATTCTGGACATTATCTTACACTGCTATTATCAGACTTTACAACTGAAATTAATCTTTTCAGAGGTTTTACCTGGTCCCAAGGAAACTGTTTTACCTAAAATTATGACGAGCACAGCTCCAAGGACTGACAGGGTGGAATTTTCATTTTCATTCCAAAATACTCTTCTAAAGATGAACTCTGCAACCATCTCTGTACAACCAAGGAAAAAAGTCTTCCAAACATTAATCTCACCAGTTTCTTTTCTTCTTTTTCTAGACAGGGTATATGTGAATTAACACAATACATACAGGATTTTGGAATCACAGTCTAATGTCGGATCACCCAGTTAGATCTGCTCATTTTAGACATTTCACTGTTACCTCTAGAGTGGGTAAGCCTAAGATTTGCAAGGAAAGCAGAGCAAATACACAGATCTGGAGACAACACTAAGAGCTCAGGAACATCTCATCTGTACTGCGTAAAGGACACCCAAAAACCCCCTGAAAGTTTCAGTATCTTCCAGCAAGGTAGGGAGGCATTACAGATGACCCTCAGAAATGTGAAAAACTGGCACCTTTTTTTGTCCCTGAGAACTTTATTACTGACTGCAAAGTTTGTATTTATAAGGCAAACACAGAGCTTTTGAAGTCTCTCACTTCCAGCCCTCAAGAGAGTTGCTGCTCTCTTCTGAAGTGTCTGTACTTTTTTTCAGGTTTTATGAGGTTTTTTTTTCATTTTTAAGAGAGGATCACATGGAGTATTCTCAAATCACTCCTTGTAATGACATGTATTAAGAGCCCTGGCTATTTTTATATCCTGTTTATATATCCAGGGTCACAATAACCTGTTTTTTTGCTGCAGCACTGTACTCACAGGCTGTTATTACTCTATCTAGATCACCACCCTATACAGACTCACTCCTTTTCATCATTATTTTTTTCAGTTTGGGTTATGTTTTTGCTCTTGAATGTACAAAGACCCATTTGTTTATACTAAAACAAGTTTCATTTGCAAGGGCTGACCTTTACTAAGTGAGAAAAGCTCCTCCCTGTCTGCACACCCTCTTTCCTTACTTGCTACTCCTTTTGTCAGGTATTGAGTTTATATTTATTTTCAGAATGAAAAATGTTAGAATACAGAAGAGTGTATATCTCAAATTCTGTGATTTAACAGTCACTAAAACTACTTCAAGGTTTCTTAGACCTCAGGGGTTTTTAAAACCATTTAGTTTAAAAAAAAAAAAAGCTTTTTACTGTCAGAAAATTCTGTCACTCTGTCATATTCTATTATAATATAAAAAACCTCAACATATTACTGCTGTGGCTTGCCTGCCCAAGGAAGACAGAAAGAAGAAGGGGATATGCAATATTCAAGTTACCTTGGCAATTAACGTATGATCAGCTGGGAAAAATTATTTAAATGCTTGGATTTATGACCAGGCCTGTTTTCCATAAACTAAATAAACTGGCATTCATTATATTCATTATACATGTATCAATTGAATCCTTTTCCATAATTTTCATTATTTTGCATGCAACAGCTATCTGGTTTAGGCAAGATTAATGAGATGCAGTAATAAAGTATGAGGAGCACCTGTCTAGATAGCAATTCTGCCAGGGAAGTGTACAGGAGTCACAGCAAATCTGAGAGTAAACAAAATATTGACAATGCTGTTTGCCTGAGATAAGCGGGATTAGAGCCAGCAAAACAGAGAGAGTAATCCTTCCACTCTCCTCAACATTTCCAAGAGTTTTATGTCAGACTCTAAGAAAATCCTTGCTACCCTACAGTTGTAAAGAAGAGGGAGAGCTGTGACTAATTGGGAAGCTGGGGAATCTCCACTCCAGGAGGCTTTTAAGACACCTTGAACACTGTCAGGCCTGGTTTCTGCATAATCTCTTGTTGCCTTGGGGCAGAGCAGGGGAGATAAATGACTTCTCCAAATGTGAGTTTTATAAAAATCTAGTTACCTGGTTAATGGTGCTTCCCTTTTCTTTTCAAACCACAACTCTAACACCTACGCTTTTCCAATATTCCTGAATTCCCCGAGTCCCCAGACTCATTAAATTTACCATCAGTAGCCCAGAGATGTCCTCAGCCAATTCTTTCAGGACTCTTGGAAGAAAACTATTTACACCAGATGGGGAGTACTTCATATTCTTCATCTTACATGACTAAAATCACTAATTTCTGATTTTCCCAATTTCAAACACATTATTTTCTGCCTCTTTCTAAAAATAGTTCAATACCATTCACACAAACATTTTTATTCGTAATGCAATAGAGAAATTCCCATTATCCAGAGAGTTGTGAGACTTGGGCTTTTACCTAACACATTTTTTATTTTCAGTTTTCTACACTACCTATTTTTTAACATGTGCTAATTTTCACATGTATTCTCTCTTTTTCATTAATAATGAGAAATATTTATATTTCTAGTTTCTGCTTTCATGTTACCTCCAATGTAAGTTGAGCTGTTATCCGAAACTGGCCTTTTTTTAATGATCAATAATTTCCTAATCAAGGACTTTTAAAAGGAATTTCTACATTACCTATTTTTTTTTCATATTTTCACACTCACACAAACACTTTTAAAATTCTCTTCTATTGAATGAGAACTGGCCAGAATAATTTTTCATGTACTAAACCAAACATCCCATTCATGATACATTTATCTTCTCAGTGCTAAGCAGTTTGCAACATTATTAGACGGGGTTATGTTGGATAAATGCCTGTCTTTCTCTTGGTACTGTTTTACCTCATGACACGAGGATTCTCCAGTGAAAATCTTCAAAAACTAATTCCCCCACAGCACAGTTTTTATTTCCATACATGACATACAGATGTTTAAGGAATAATTTCCCCTCTTTTCTCATTTGATTCAGTTATGTGGTTCAGTCTTACTTTTTTCCACGACTTCCTGGATAGATATAATTTGATATCCTGTGGCTCTGAGAAAACAAGATTAAAACAAACAATGGATCTTTTGGGAAAACAAAAACAAAAAACCCAAACAAACAAAACAAAACAACAACAAAAAAAAGCCACCACTCACGAGGAGAAGGCTGCTATAACCCTACTGCTCCGTCTCTCTCTGGAATGGAAACCAACATTTTAATACTCAATGGTTTCAGTTTTACTACATCCTTTTTTCATACTTTCCTCTATTCTCACTTTAAAATTCAGCATGAACTCCTTTATTCTCATGTTACATTGCAGAACCCTCAATAACATCAGTTACACCCATCTTTCTGAAACCAGGATTCAAAACCAGATCTAAAAAAAAATTGTCAAGCTCTAAGTTAACTTCAGGGTTTAAAGTTTTTATTTTAACAGGAGCATTTTTCCTCTCTTAGCAATGCTATTTCACTGTAAAACAAGTAACTGCAATACTTTATACACCTATCAAAATATCTGATAATTACTGTAACTTACAATTTATAAATACCTAAGACAGACAATTATTTTCAATAAACACAAATCCTTCAAATCCTTGCACCTGAAAGAAAGAACAGTAAAATTTTGTGTTCTTTTTCTTTACATTATTTTAATCCTGTCTATAACTCTGGCAAAGATATCCAAGTGGGAGGAGAAATTCAACAATTTATCAGTTAAAGGCACATAATACAGTCCATAAAAGACTCAGTCTTCCCCATGGAAGGTGGACTCCAAGTTTTATTTCATGAATACCAAATGAAGCCTTGGAAATCCACTTGACACATTCAGTGGCACCAAATGCATAGAGAAATTCTGTCAGTGCAGAAACACATGACAATTTCTGCACTGATATCTTTCTAGGGTAACAGCTACAATTCCAAATTGTACATGGCTGTATCTTAACTACTTACTCTACCGCCCAGCAGGTTATTTTGCTCTAAGACAGCTGTAAACATTTTGTATTTTGAGGTCTCACACAGGCACTTGCTTCTCCCATGTGAGTCTTACTCATCAGCACAAGAAAAAAATAAAACTACTGAGGTAAAAAGAAAGCATACTCACATCCAAAATAAATGGGCTTACCTCAGAAAAAGATGAGGCCCCAGGTTTTCCTCAGGTAACTGTGGAATGGAAAATGAGTAGGTAATGTCCTACCTCTCCTAGCCTGAACAGAGCTTTTTTCCTCAAGAGCAGCATCAAAGTGATTTCAAAGTGATTTTGTTGATCAGTGCACTTTCAGATGGGAAGGCAAGGCAGGAGAAGGTTGTAGAATCCATAGCTCAGCCAGGGGGGATGAACTCCTGTGTTTGTAATGCACCAGAGGGGACCGAGCACTGCAATGTCAGCCCTGCAGGACAGGCAGTCAACACAGAGCAGGGAAGTCCTGGCAGGCAGAGGCAGATTGCTCTGCTTTAATGTGCCCCTCACATAGAATGAAATGGGGAAAAAGGGGTTTAGGTACCAGGGAAACAATGTGCTCTTACCATTGACTCAGCTTTAAGATACTCCTTTACAGCAGAGATTGCTGTTAAAATGAAATGAGATAAATTAATGCTGTTCACAGCTCCAGAAAACACCAGAGCTGTATTATTTTCTATGCTTTTGGTTTCACATGTGTAATACAAAAAGATCAAGAGCTAACCCTGATAAAAACAGGAGCCACAAAATGATGATAGGAGCCCAGCTGCCCTATTAAATAATTTTCATTCTTCCTTGAAAATACTAATTGATATTCAATTCACCATCATGTTCATGTCAACAGCAGATTACTGGGCAGCATTTCCTAAATGAACACGAATACCTGACAATTTTGTCAGCCCTGTTTATTAACCTAAGTGTATATCTTCATTAGGGAAATTAGAAACAACTGAAATTCAGACAAACAGATTTATCTTTCCTTGCACTGGTAAATGACTTGTGTGTTGAAGCCTATTCTCTAAGGTTGGGACTAATGCTAAATTTAATATTCTTCGTTTTGCTGTTAACCTTTTTTAGTCTGCATTCTTACAAGCAGTTTCTTTTATGTTTTTTATTTTAATACTTGTATTGAGTGGTGATAAAATGAACAAAAAGTTAAGGTTACAACATCCATAAGTGAAAATCCCCCCCCCCAACATACAAAAGCTTTTGGAAAACTGTAACAATACCTATACATAACTGTCAGCCAAACTAATTCTGAAGTTAGTAACTCCATGGCTATTGCTCTTATACTCCATACTTTCAGAGAATTCCTATTTAAGGCAGGGTAGAAACTTCCCTCTGGAGCTCATG